ATGCACCAACCACTAAAGTCAGTGATGATGAAATTGAAGAATTCTACCAACTTTTTTACTCTTAAACTGATCAAATATGCAGTCAAGATATGCTGATAATTACTGGTGATTGGAATGCAAAGGTTGAAGATAGAAAGTAAGGACCAGTACTTAGAAAATATGGCTTTTGTGATAGAAATAATGCTGGCAACTACAAGATAGAATTTTGCAAGACCAATGACTTCTTTGCAATTAGCTTTTGAAAAATATATAAAAGGTGACTATACAAATTGACTTCACCAGATGGAATATACAGGAATCAAATTGACATCTGTGAGAAGAGACAGTGGCAAAGCTTAATATCATCAGCCAAAACAAAGCCATGGGCAAACTCTGGAACAGACCATCAGTTGTTCATATGCAAATTCAGTCTGAAGCTGAAAATAATTAAAACAAGTCTATGAGAGCCAAAATGGGGCCTTGAATATATCCCACTTGAATTTACACACCACCTCTGGAACAGATTTGATGCATTAAAAACTAAAGACCGAAGACCAGAAGAACTCTGGGATGATATGAAGATCATCACACCGGAAGAAAGCCAAAGTTCATTAAAAAGACAGGAAAGACAGACCAAAATGGATTTCAGAAGAGACTCTCAAACTTACTTGAGTGTCGAGAAAATAAAGTGAATAGAAGAAATGAGGCGGTAAAAGAGCAGCTCAAGAAGACAAAGTATTATAATGAAACTGTACAAAGACTGGGAGTTAGAAAATCAAAAAAGAAGAACATACTCATCATTTCTCAAGCTGAAATAACTGAAGAAAAACTTCGTCTCAACTTGAAATATTGAATGATTCTATGGGCAAACATGGAATGATACAGAAAATGTCAAAAGAAGATGGAAGGAATACACAGAGTCACTGTACCAAGAAGATGTTCAAGCATTTGAAGGGGTGGCATATAATCTAGAATCATTGGTATTGAGGGAAGAAGTCCAAATTGCACTAAGGCATTGGTGAAAACAAGGCTCTAGGAATTGATGCAGTACACATTGAAATATTTCAACAAACTGATACAGCACTGAAGGCTGAAGGTGCTCACTCATCTATGCTAAGAAATCTCGTTGGCAATTGGAAGAAATCCATATTTGTATCCATTACAAAGAGAGGTGGTCCAATGGAATGTAGAAATCATCTAACAATGTCATAAATAGCACAAACAAGTAGAATTTTGAACCGCCAGAAATCCAAATTGTATTCAGAAGAGGACATAAACTAGGAATGTTGTTGCTTTTGCTTACATCATAGAGATTTTGACTGAAAGCAAAGAATAACAGGAAAAAAATGTTTATTTGTGCTTTATAGATACAAAGGCTTTTGACTGTTTGGTCATCATAAGGTATGAATAACATAGAAAGAATGAATATTCCAAAACACTTAATTTTGCTCCTGAGAACCTTTTCTATAGATCAAGAGACAGTCATTCTAACATAACAATGGGATACTAAATGGTTTAAAATCAAGAAAGGTGCTGAGCATGGTTATATTCTTATATCATATGTATTAAATGTGTAGGCTGAGCAAATAAGCCAGGAAACTGAATTATATGAAGAAGAACGGGCATGAATATTGAAGGAAGACTCATTAACAACCTTTAATATGCAGCTAATACAACTTTGCTTGCTGGAAGCAAAGAGTACTTAAGATACTTACTGATAAAATAAATCAAAGGCCACGTTTCAATATGGGTTTGCAGCTCATTGTAAAGAAGACAAAAATCCTCGCAACTGAACAAGTAAAGCTATTGTTGTTAGGTGCCATTGAGTCGGTACTGACTGATAGCAACCTTATGCACAAGAGAACGAAACTGCCTGTTCCTGTGCCAACCTAACAGTCGTTGATGTGATTGAGCCCATTGCTGCAGCCTCTTTGCCAATCCATCTCATTGGTATTCTCCCTCTTTTTTGCTGACCCTCCACTTTACCATGCATGATGCCCTTCTCCAGGGACTGATCCCTCCTGATAAGTAACATCATGATAAATGGAGAAAAGATTGAAGTTGTCGAAGACTTCATTTTGCTTGAGTCCACAATCGAAACTCAATGTAGCAGCTGTCAAAAAATCAAACAACTTAGTTCTCTAGGCATAGCTTCTGCACAAGACATCTTTAAAGTGTTCAAGAGCAAAGATGTCAGTTTGAGGATTAAAGTGTGCCTATTGTAAGCCATGGTATTTTCAGTAACCTTATATGCATGTGAAAGTTGAACAACGAAAGGGAATACCATAGAAGAATCAATGTATTATGTTGTAGTGTTGGAGAAGAATATTGAATGTACCATGGACTGTCAGAAGAACAAACAAATCTATGCTGGGAGAAGTACAGCTCCTTAGAAGCCAGAATGGCCAGACTCTCTTATACTTCAGACATGTTATCAGGAGGGACAAGATACTTGGTAGAGTGAATTGTCTGCAGAAAAGAGGAAGAACCCTAAGGACATGGATTGGCACATTGGCAGTAGCAATGGACTCTAACGTAACAATTGTGAGCATGTTCCAGCACTGGGCAATGTTTATTTCTGTTGTGCCTAAGGGTCACTACACACTGGAAGTGACTCAAGGGCACCCAATAACAACAACAACATGAGTCAGCAGTTTATTTATGGTTTAGTTCAACATCCAAAAGACCCAGTAATCTTTGGAATTTTGGAAAGATGTTGAGCCTGAAGGTAAAATATTGCTAATTGTCATCAGCATATAGATTTAAAGCTCTGGGACTGATAAAAATCTCTGGTTGAAAGAGTATAGTTAGAAGGATTGTACTCTGTATTAATCCATTGTTAAAAGTGGGATAAATGTGGTATTGCGGGAGTTCCTGCTCTCCGCGGGGGTCGTGGGACACAAGCGAATATGTGGAATCTTCAGGTGAAGAAATGAATGAATACAATCGAAAGGCTTTTCAACTTGCTGTGCTGTCTGGCTATGCTCTCCAGCTTCTGCCCTAGCTTCTGCTTTCTGCCCTTTGCTGTCTGCCCTCTGCTCTCTGCTGTCTGCCCTCTGCTTTCTCCCTCCTGATCTCTGCTGCTTCTGCCACTTCTACTTCCTTCTGCCTCTACTGCCTTCTGCCTCTTTCTGCCTCTACTCCTGCTGTCTCCTGCCTTTGCTCTCTCTCCTTTCTCTCTCTTTCTCTTTCTTCCTCTCTCTGCCTCCTTCTGCCTCTACTCCTGCTCTCCATTTCTGCTCTCTCTCCTTTCTCTGCCAGCCCAGCTCAGCAAGTCTTTATTTTTGTACTTCTTACCCCACAGTACATGCATTGACACTTTTATCATTTCTTCAATTATTACACAGTCACAACATTCTTGCACCTAGTTATTAGACATCCTTGACAAAAATACTTCTGTGATGTTCAGACAGACTGACCTTTATCTCCTTTCCCAGTATGTGGTAAACTGTTTCTTTTGTTTCCACTAAAAGATTAAGCCAAACCTTCTACCCTACATAATGTACTATTATTTTCAATAATAAAATATTCATTAAATCACTTGGAAGCTATGTGGTATAAAGCCCAACCTGGCTACTTGCTGCAAGAAGTGTAGACTATAAAGTCAAAACTATCCTTCACTTAAGTTCATTATTGTCTGCTTATTTACGCAGGTGCTTGTATGTAGGGGTTTGTGAATTCTAGCTAGTAACTGATTGTGGTGAGGTTTATGGGGGTAGGTCAGCTTGACTTTAATATGTTTTTGTGGCCTCACAAATGCATTTATTTAGGTTTTCTATGAGAAGGAGTAATTTGCACAATTTCTCTTTGTATTGAATCCACCAAGGCTGAAAGCAATTGCTGCTAAGCTAGTTTTCCCTAAGGTTTGTCAAATTCATAGTGAAAGCTGAGAATATTGCCATATTATATATTTTTACAAGTAAATTCCAAGTTAACTTTAAGGGAAGATAGGGGTCAGCTTTTGAGAGTCATTTGCCATGCATAATGTCTCTCCCCTCAGTGCGGCTTTGCCAAGCACCGAGAGTTAAGCGCTCCCCGCATGGTATAATGGGAGCCGTATGAAGGAAACATTTCAAGAATGAGGAGTGATCACCAGGATCAAATGCTTTTGATGGATCAAGTACGATAATGCTTGAGAATTCACCACTGTTTTTGACAATGTACAGTACATTTGTGACCTGGAGTATTGCAGTCATGAGTGTTTATAAAAAATTAGCATGTATAAACCAGTATTTCAATTTGTTTCTTAAGTTTCATCCCTCCAACCTTTACATTAATTTTTAAGAATCTACAGATTCTTGGAACCTTTCGTGTGGTTAAAATCACTCGTTCACATCTTTAGATACAAAATGCATATTCCCTGAAACAATTGCTAAGCATTCACTATGTTTTACTCTGCACCAATTGAGTTTGTACTAATACTTATTCCTAGGTAATACTGGCAATTTTTTTTAATTCAGTTTTTTGATAACTCAGTGACACACAACAGTAACAATTTATAATAACGTAAAATCTTAAAGTACCTCAAATCCTAAAATACTTCTAGTTGAAAGGGATTTTTGAAATTATTTAGTTTCATGTCAACTAATTATTATCTATTATGATTGTAATCTCATTTCCCCCCCTTTTTAACTCTTTTGTGATATGAGTAAAAGTTTACAGTGCAAAATGGTTTTCCATTCAACAATTTCTATGCATTTTATTTCATAACATTGATTGCAATCTCCATAGTGTAATAGCACTCTTCCCATTCCGTGTTTGATTTCATCACTCTTCTCTTCTGTCCTTTCATCTTCTGAGCTTTATTCCTGGGCAAATGCTGCCCTTTGATCTCACATGGTTGATTGTTTTAAAGAGTATGTACTTCCCTAAAGTTATTGTTTACCCTATATGCCTGCCTGTTGTTTGGCTGATAGTTGAGCTAAGTCAGTGAGTTCAGTTTTTGGCTTAAAGGATAATAACAATAATTACTTTTTAATGAATTTGTTTAGTAAAGATAGTATCTTTTTTTAAAAAAACAGAAATATGTTGGTGAAGTATTTAACATCGTAAGTCAACAATCGACAGCCAGACCAGGATGCATTATTGCATTAGATCCCATTACCAAACTGGTAAGTATTACTGTTCTGACTCTCTTATTCACCCTAGTATTATGCTGTAGGATAAGCACTGGACCGCTATCTGCAGGGATGGTGGTTCAAATCTACCAGAAACCCTATACAGAGTCTCTTTGAATTGGAACTGACTCAACAGTACTTAACAGCAACAAAAACAGTTGCCATTGAGTTGATTTCCAACTCAGGGCAACCCATGTGTGTCAGAATAGACCTGTGGTCCATGGAATTTTCAGTGGCTAGTTTTTCAGAAGTAGATTTTTCAAACCTTTCTTCTGATGTACCTCTGAGTGGATTCAAACTGCCTACTGTTTGGTTAGTAGCTAAGTATGTTAGTTTGTTTGCACCATACTAAGACTCTATGTTGTTGTTAAGTGCTGTTAAGTCAGCCACCTGTATAGGATTTTCCGAGGCTATAATTCTTTGCAGGAGCAGAAACCCTTTCTTCCATGATTGTGAGCTCGAACTTATAACCTTGTGGTTAGCAGTCAAGTGTATTCTGTATAGCCACAATGCCCAATCATTTTATAATATTAGGTAAATATCATATATGTCAATTTATGTTGGTATTTATTTGCATTCAGCATGGCAGAAAAACACAACTGCTTCATGTTTTTCAAGAAGATTTCATTTTGAATAACCTTGAGAAGAAATGTTTGGGAAAGGACAGCATTTTATCTGATGCAGGTAAAAAAAAGAAATTTTTTTAATTTAATGAGAGGCTGCTGAATATATTAACCAGTTAATGAAGATGAATTGATGCAGTATTTTTACGTTGTCTGTTGGATTAATATACTGAGTGCTTTTTGCATGAATGGGGTACTGTATAAATCATGTTAGATTATAAATACATCTGGCCTATTGTTGTTATTAATGCTGTGGAGTCAATTTTGACTCATAGCAACCCTATATCGAGTTTCTATGGCTATACATTTTTGCAGGCACAGAAATCCAGAATGACTGGTTGGCGTGAACCTCCAACCTTGAGGTTCATAGTCCAGTGCTTGTCGTATAGAGCCACTGTGCACCTCTCTGACCTACTGAAAGCCTATAATAACAAACAGTGGCTTAAAACTCTTAAGGTATAAGGCCTTTAATTTAAAGATCAATTGCCTTAATTAACACTTTCATTATAATAATAAAATAGTTGTAAATTCCTACTAAAATCCTCCATCTGATACTAATTTTTACCTTGCAAAAGAGAAAAAAAAAGCTGAGGAAAATGAAACCAAAAACTCCTGTTCATCATTTTCATTTACAGAGTCAAACAAACTCAAAAATGGTCTTCCAAAACTTAGAAAGCAACCATGTAGTATGTGCCTGCTCATTAAAAAGTCAGTTTATCTGGTCTCAAATAATATTAATATCTGTATTTTTGTTCAGTTTTTTCTTAGCATATTGTTTCTTTTACCCTTTCCATTTTCTTTTCCCTTGGGAAATACACCCTAGAATTCTGTGCTTTTATGGTAAAAGCTTAATTTCTTTCCATTGCTTTTACTCAGTCTTGTATCATTTTCCCTGAGAATTTAAAATTGTGCAAATATACTATATTGATTCGTTCTCATAACTTCTGAGCATAGTGAAGGAAAATTGCTAAGGATGAGAAATGTTTATATCTAAGGAAAGGATTATTTCTATAAAAACATGTTTTCTGTATTTCCTTTTATATTTAAAATAGTAGTTAAAATGATAGTTTACCATTTCTCTTTAAGATCTTTTAAAGAAATTATTTTCTTATAGTTAAGAGCTTTGCTATGATTTTCATTTTTCATAGTACTTACTCTTCTACTATTTTTCAGTTTCTACGGTTGTTGTTTTTTTTCCTTTTTAGGACTATTCTGGCTTTTTACTTAAAATATTCAGGGAATCATTACTAATGTTTACTCAAAACTATTATCTTCATTGTTGTTGTTAGGTGCCATCAAGTCAGTACTGACTCATAGTGATTTTATGCACAGCAGAACAAAACACTGCCTTATCCTGGGTCAACCTCACTATTGTTGCCACACTTCAGCCCATTGATGCTGCCACTTGGCCATTCCATATTGTTGGGGATCTCACTGGTGGGGCTCTTCTCTTCTTTTTCACTGACCCTGTAATCTACTAAGCATGATGTCCTTCTACAGGGACTGCTCTCTCATGATAATCAGTCCAAAGAATGAGAATCAAACTCGTGCCATCCTGGCTTCTAATGAGCATTTTGGCTGTACTTGTTCCAACACAGATTTATTTGTGCTTCTGGTATTCCATGGTACTGTTAACATTCTTCTCTAACACAGTTACTCAAATGCATCAAGTCTTCTGTGATCTTCCTTGTTCATTGTCCAACTTCCAGGTGTCCAACTTAAAGCTATTGAAAATATCTCTAAACTGATATCTTTGCTCTTCAACACTTCAACACATAAGAGAGAGCTTATGCAGCAGGTTTACCTAATGCAGTAGGTCATTTGATTTCTTGACTGCTGCTTCCATGAATGTTGATTGTGGATCCAAGCAAATTATTTTAATAGTATTCAATGATTTCCGCATTTCATTGGGTCACCTCTCTTTGGACTAGGCGCAAGTAATGGATCTCTTCCACTCAAATGACCAAGTAGCTGTATTGCAAATTTCTTGGCATAGATGAGTGAGTGCCTCCAGTATAGCATCAGTTTATTGAAAGATTACAATTTGTATTCTGTCAGTTCCTGGAGTTTTATTTTTCACCAAAAGCCTTCAGTATAGTTTGAAATCTTACCTCATTGTCACTGGTTCTTGATCATATGCTACCTCTTGAAATGGTTCAACATAGACCATTTCTTTTTGGTACAGTGTCTCTGTGTATTCTTTCCATTTTCTTTTGATCCTTTCTGCATCTTTCAGTATTTTGCCTATAGAATCCTTCAATATTGCAAGTTGAAGCTTGAATTTTTTTCTTCACTTCTTTCAGCTTGAGAATTCCTGAGCATGTTGTTCCCTTTAGGTTTTCTGGCTCTTATTGTTGTTAAGTGCGGTTGAATCGGTTCCAATCCAAAGTGACCGTGTGTACAGTTTCTGAGGAGCAGCTGCTGAGCTTGAACCCTTTGCAGTCCAGAGTATTTAACTCACAGCACCACACCAAGAGTATATTTCTGTGTATATTTCTGACTTTTGTTGTTGTTGTTAAAGTGCCGTCAAGTGTGTTCCAACCCATAGCGACCCTGTATAGGGTTTTTCAGGAGCAGCTGGTGAGCTTGAACTGCCGACCTTGCAGTTCAGATGGCTTTGCAGTCTGGCACATTAACCCACAGCGCCACACCAGGACTCCTCTTCTGACTTTACGTCAGTGTAGATTTCATTATAATATTTGATTTTGTCTTCTCAAGCTGCCCTTTGAAATTTTCTGTTCAGCTAATTTCTTCCATTTGCATTACCTTGTCTGTTCTCAAGAGCAAGTTTCACATAGTCAACAAAGACAATGTTCTACCTCCTACTTTGATGAGTAGCATCTGGCATATTAAAAGCTTACCAGTGGCCATCTAAGGTGCAACTATTAGTCTCTCCACGTGTGGAGGAAAGAAGAGTGATGACAATTGAAGATGCTGCAATCAGTTAGTCCAGTAGACTAAGGAAACATAGTAAACATCAGTGTCCATGACTCTGAGACCAGAAGAACTGATTGGTTCCCGTCTACCACCAATAACTGTTTTGAAAGGCATCACATTAGAAGGTCCCAGATAGAGTGAAGAAAATGTAGGACAAAAACTCAAAATTATAAATATAACACTGGGCTTTCTGGTCAGAAAAAGAAAGGAGGAACCCAAGACTATGGCCCTTGACCATCTTTAAGGTATGGAAAGGAAGTCACCCCCATGGCCCAATTTTCAACCAAATAGTAGAGAGGTATATAAGAGGGAAAGCTATGCTAAGGTTTGTTCACCATGGAATGGTCAATCATTCAAGGCCAGCAGGGCAACATTTACCTAATGGCACATTGAGAAGGGATGGGAAGAAAGGTAGAATGAAAATAGGAACCCCATAGGAAGGAAGTGGGATAATTGTTGCATGGCAGGATTATAATCATTGAGGTGAAACAAAGTATATGATTTGTTGAATGTAAAACTGATACTCCTATCTGTAAACCTTCACTCAATTCTGAATAAAAAGTTTTTTAAAAAAAGAGAAGTTTAGAGTCTGTTCTGACATTTGTTCATCTTGGTTCTTTCTTTACTTCCAGTCTTTTTAATGACCTTTTGTTTTGTTGTATGATGTTCTTGATATCCCAAAAGTCTTTCGGTCTTTGTTCATTAGTTTCTAATGCATCAAATCTGTTCTTGAGATGGTATCTAAATTTAGGTGGTATATGCAAAAGATAATTTTTTGGCTCTTAGGGACTTGTTTTAATTTTCTTCAGCTTCAGCATGAACTTGCATGTGAGCATTTGATAGTCTCTCCACAGTGTGCCCCTGGCCTTGTTTTGGCTGATGATATTGAGCTTTTCCAATGTCTCTTTCTGTAGATTGCACTTGATCCTGTGTATACCATCTGGTGAGGTCCATATGTATAGTTGTCTTTTGTGTTATTTAAAGAAGGTATTTGCAACAAATAAGTCATTGGCCTTGCAGAATTGTGTCATGTGATCTCCAACATCGTTTCTATCACCAAGGCCATATTTTCCAACTCCCAAACCTTCCTCTTTGTTTCTAACCTTTGTATCCCAGTCTCCAGTAATTATCAATATATATTGATTGCATATTTGATCAATTTCAGACAGAAGATGTTGATAGAATTCTTCAATTTCATCATGTCTGGTTTGAGTGGTTGATTTATAATTTGAATAGTAATTGTAACTAACTGGTCTTTCTTGTATATGTGTGGATATTATCATTTCCTAGACTGCATTGTGCTTCAGGAAAGATCTTGAATTTTTATTTTTGACAATGAATGTGGCATCACTTCTCTTGACTTTCTTGTTTCCGGCATAGTAAACTATATGATTTTAAGTTTCGAAATGGCCAATACCAGTCCATTTCAGCTCACTAACGATTTGGTGTCTAGGTGTGGCAGGAGTCCTGGTGTGTTGCTCTATAGGATAAGCACTGGACCACAGGGTCAATTTGAACCACAAGGTGGAAGTTCAAACCTACCAGTAACTTCTCGGAAACCCTATCTATACAAGGTCACTGTGAGCCGGAACCAACTTGATGGCACTTAGCAGCAACAGTGCTTAGGATATTGATCTTTATGTATTCCATTCATTTTTAACACCTTCCAATTTTCCTTGATTCAGCCTTCCAATTATCAGTGGATGTTTGTAGCTGTTTGTCCTCATTTTTAGTTGTGCCCTTTCAACAAATGACGCTCCAGAAAACTGTACTGCATTTGCATCATCATTGTCTACTCTGGTTTGAAGAGGCAACTCTTTCTTAGTCATATTTGTGTGCCTTCCAACCTGAGGTTTTTTTTTCCAGCACTATATTTCATAATGTTTTCATCTTGTGGTACTATATCTGACGATGTGTTTTCTCATTAAATTGTCAGTGACTAAACATTCAGAAGTAGTCCACTTCTCTTACTTCCTAGTCTGTCTTAGTCTGGAATCTTCACTGAACCTTGTCCACCATGAGTGACCCTGTTGGTATTTAAAATACCAGTGGCATAGCTTCCCACATCATAGCAACATTCAAGCTACTTCAGTACGACAATCTGACATGCAAGTGATGGAGCCT